TTTGGCAGAAGGTCCTTCGCTCCAAGTGGGAGTGAGGGACCGTCCACCGAATTGCCGCCGAATAGCTGGACCTGCCGCCCCTCTCCGGAGTGGCCACCCCAAGCACCTGCTTGCCAAGCTGGTGCCTGGAGCCGGCCCTGCCCAGGGAGCATTGACAGCTAATGAGCAGGGAGATGCAGGACTGCATCCCTCCACTTTTCCATGGGGCCTCAAGAAGGGGCGGAGGCTAGGAAAGAGGATCAGCGGCTGCACAATCCCTGAGGATACAGTCAGGGCTGGGAATGCTCTGGGTTCATGGGAGATGGATAACACAGACAAACAAGTGACTCCCTTTACTGGTTATTCCTTATGGGATCTAGACTAATGGCCAGACTGAACGAAAGCGGCAGGAGCATAGACATTCGGCGAATGAAGGTATGTTTGTCAGGGTCCCTTGTCCCATTCTTTGAAGGGCTACGTGCTTTGTTGCTAACATTATGGCCTAGTGCTCATGCGCTGCACGGCCAGGCAGGAGACCAGAGTCAGATTTTCCATCCCCAAGCTGGCAGGACCGGCCCGCTCAAGTTTGCTAGATGGCGGAGGAAGGGAAGGGGTGACTGGCATGGGCCGACAGCAGCCCCCCACGGCTGATTGAGGAACAGGGCTGATGAGCTCCAGAAAGTGCTCTGCTAGGTTCCCCTGGGATGAAGGATGCAAGATGGGACCATGATAATTCTCCAGGCTCTGGCAGAGATGCGAAGAGCCACCCCCTTGCGGGAAGGCAACTCGTGCCGAGGGTCGGCAAACCTGACTCTGATTATACCTTGATGCCTTGTAACAATCAGGCTTGTTAACAAGCACCACCGCTCTGCAGAGAGACAACGGTTGGGATTCAGAGCCAGTCCACAGCTGGGGAGGAGGCGTAGATCCTGCTGCCCCAGTCTATCATGGTACCCTTGTGTGCGAGGGGCAGGGCGTGCGGCACCGGCAGAAGCCTGGCTATGGATAGTACCTGGTACTCGAAGGAGGGCGTGAGCCGATAGTTGAGCATTTCCTGATGGAAGACTGGGGTGATGCTGCTGGACATCGGGGGGACGATCCAGACCCAGTCAGCAGGGCACCCCCCGCGGCAGCGATACTCATTCTCCATGTGCTTGATGAAGGACTCTGTGGCTGAGTGATGGTCCACAATGGTCACCTTGTCGCTCTGTTGGAGGGAAGGAGAAGACAGCCAGTAGAACTGCAGGCTAGTGCTCCTTGGGCAGTGAGGACAGGGGTCGGGAGGCAGCATTAGGACCCCGGGCTGGGAGCCGAGTCTGCCGTGAGGGCTAAAAAGGAGCATCCCCACCAAGAACTGCAGTGGACGTTAGGACAACAAACAGCTTCTGTCTAGGAGAAGTCAAAGGCTGAAAGCTCAGTTCCTCCTTCCAATGGAAGGCGTCCGTCAGTGGCAATGGGGCATGAGGAACAATCCGGAAGGGCCCCGTGGCGGGGTCTGATTGAGAAGACAGCCCTCATTTTGGAACTTCCCTTCATTTGATTATGCTGAGCTAGTTGACAGGTAGGAGGGACCCTGAACCCCCTAAGCTCTGCTGTGGGCTGGTCAAAGGGGATTGTTACCCTTGGGGTCCAGCTCTGGGGACCAGCCGCTGCTCCCTTCCTCTAGGGCTGTCCTCCCAGCTCACCCGTATAAAACTCCAAGGAAAACAGCTGCTGGAAGACGCTGCTGCCTAAGACTGAGCTATTGCCCATGTGTATCCCCTGCCCTCCCAGAGCAGACACACTAAGGCAGAGAGATATTCTCCTGGTTCGCCCGGTGCCAAGCAGCATTCTGCCCCAATCACTAGTTTTGGCTTGGACGAGCCAAAATCGCAAATCACTTTAAATGCAAATGTGGATACTCAGGGCCAGATCCTTGGCCCTTTTTGTGCCACTCACACCCTGTAAAGGAGCTGGAAATCCCCCCAGGGAAAGGCTTGCACAGGGCTGATGTAGACAGCCCTACACCACCTGTCTGTGCTGGCCTGAGTGTGCTAAATTCCACTGCGGGCCACCCCGGCACCTGGAACAACCCCAAATTAGGGAGGCCCCAAAAGGGGAATAGCCCCTCCTGAGCAACACAGCCCAGACTTTAGTCACCCTCACCTCCATGTCAGGACAGTGCCGCACGAAAGCATGTTTGTTAAACCACTAGCTGCTGTGGCCCTGGGGCAGATCTCCCTACCGCCCCTTCCCAAGCCAGTTTCTGACGTAGCACCAGGCGCCGGTCCCATCCCAAACCCCAAAGCCTGGGGATGCCTGTGCTGAAGCTCCAGCAGCAAGTCCTGCCCCTCGGGTACCTGGAAGCTGTACAGAACAGCGATGTTAATCTCCACCAGGGCCTGGTCTTTCCACAGCGAGGAGGTTTTCCTCATGTCCAGGTTCATCTTTTTGGCTACTTCCTGCAAAGACACGCAGTAATCGGTGAGCGGGGACTCAGTACCGGCCACAAAGCGAAGTCCTAAGGCCTCTGCCCCAGAGAGCGAGCTAAGGGAGGGCAAGCCCTATCTCCGCATCTGATGGAGAACTTCCGTGAAGGGAGGCATGGCTGCTGGGTATGGGTCAGAGTAAATGACCTGCCTGTCTCACTGAACTTCGTCCCGGTGGCCTGGTTCCCTCCTGAACAGTCAGGGCTTGGCTGTGCCCAGCCTCGCACAGGGACTGTGGGTGATCCCAGCGGGGAGGGTAGGTGTGATGCTGGCAGGCCAGATGCCAGCTCATGCCCAGGTCATAGAATCATAGAATATCAGGGTTGGACGGGACCTCAGGAGGTCATCTAGTCCAACCCCCGGCTCAAAGCAGGACCAATTCCCAAATAAATCATCCCAACCAGGGCTTCGTCAAGCCTGACCTTAAAAACCTCTAAGGAAGGAGATTCCACCACCTCCCTAGGTAACCCATTCCAGTGCTTCACCACCCTCCTAGTGAAAAAGTTTTTCCTAATATCCAACCTAAACCTTCCCGACTGCAACTTGAGACCATTGCTCCTTGTTCTGTCATCTGCTACCACTGAGAACAGTCTAGCTCCATCCTCTTTGGAACCCCCTTTCGGGTAGTTGAAAGCAGTTATCAAATCCCCCCTCACTCTTCTCTTCTGCAGACTAAACAATCCCAGTTCCCTCAGCCTCTCCTCATAAGTCATGTGCTCCGGCCCCCTAATCATTTTTGTTGCCCTCTGCTGGACTCTTTCCAATTTTTCCACATCCTTCTTGTAGTGTGGGGCCCAAAACTGGACCCAGTACTCCAGATGAGACCTCACCAATGTCGAATAGAGGGGAATGATCATGTCCCTCAATCTGCTGGCAATGCCCCTACTTATACAGCCCAAAATGCTGTTAGCCTTCTTGGCAACAAGGGCACACTGTCGACTCATATCCAGCTTCTTGTCCACTGTAACTCCTAGGTCCTTTTCTGCAGAACTGCTGCCTAGCGGGTCCCCATGTCTCACTTGAATACTGACAAATACAGAGCTGGAATCCAGCTGGTTCACCTGTGTGGTAGTATTGTTAAAACAGGCATTCGTTATAAAACAGTGCCTAGTGTTTAGACCTTATGGAATGTGTGTGAGTTGCTGCCTGCATTAATCTCACTTGCGACATCTGTACCCCAGAGTATGAGCCTTTTGTATTGCAAGCTTCTGTGACTGTGAAAATCGCCAGACAGGAGAGAGACATTAACGAGTGTAAAGCGCGGATCTCCAACAGAAGGCGTTAGGTCCTGCCCCACAAGCAAGGTCCATCGACACCAGATGAACTATCGTGGAACACTGAAGAGGACAAAAGGCTTCGTTGATTGTTCTTACCCCACCATGAAGAGCAGTGATGCAAGTGAATTCCTTCCATCAGCTGAGTTTGCTGCTCAAAGAGCAAAGGGGGAAAGGAAAAAAGGCCCTAACAAGAAGGAACTGTATCTTTATGCTGCTGGGACTCTGAGGGGCAAGGATAACGAAGCATAACTGAAAGCGCCCCAGTGCTTAGCCAATTTGGGGCTTGTGCCCTGCTTCCCCACGCCCTGCGCCTCTGAAGGCCAGTTTGACAGCAGGCACGGCTCCCTACCAGTGCCCACCCGGGGGCAGGGCACCTGAAAGAGGATGAGGAGAGGAGTGAGCCCTGTGGGGCACCCCCAGGCCTCCAAGGGAAGCAGCAGAGGTGGCTGGGTGTGGGGGGAGGAGCACAGTACACCTCTGTGGGGGAGCAGCATCAGAGTTCCCCCTGGGGACTCCTCCAGCACGGGGTGGGGAAGCCACAATCTGGGTGTGGTTAGTACCAATGTTTCTTCCTCTTTTCCCACCCTAAGTAACTATCATGGAGGTGACGTACCAGGGACTTGCTGGGCCAGGGCTCCCCTGGGAACATCGCCCTGATGTGGCAGCGTGGCTGGAATTCACTTTGATCTTCAGAGCTTATTTAAGGCAGCCCTTTGGTTTCATTTACCGTCCCCCACAAAGCAGGGACACGCCCAGCTTGGCGCTCTGCTCCCCGGTAGCTCCGTACACCCCTAAGCACCCCCGCCAGCCCCACCGCTGCCCCGAGGCGCGGCAGGCAGTAGCCGAGGGCAGAGTTACCTCCAGCATGTTGTAGCGAGAGTTATCACAGTAATCGCGGACGCCGATCTCAGTGCCCATGTACCAGCCGCTGAAGGGGCAGGCAGTGAACTCCAGGCCTCCGATCTCTAGCAGCATGCTGGACACCGCTGGCAAACCGTACCACTTCAGCCCCAGGTCCTTAAACCAGGCAAACCTGCCGAGCACACGGGGGGGTCAGCCGGGTTGCTGGATCCTCACGGGGAGGGGAACAAAGGGGGGGATTTGCCCCTAACAGTCATTCCACAGAAGCCCGAAGGCAGCTTTGTCTTACTACAACGAGCCAGTTCTCACCAACCATCGGAACCACTCCTGGGAACGAGGGAGCAGAGCAGGGCCCTGGGGGGATGGCAGCACCGTTTCCTTTGCACACAGGAGGGGTGCACACAAGAGGGGAGTTGTGGGGAGGGGCGGGGAGAACAGGTGGATGGCAGGAGGCTCAGGGCAGAGGAACCGGAGAAACTGAAGTGATGCGAGAGCAGCCCTGCCATCCCTCCACGGGAAAGGGACCAGGGTCACTGGTTTTCAAGCCTGGGCCAGTTTTCCATGCAGAATGGAAGGAAGCTCTAGGGGTTGCACCAACTGGCAGAAATGGGCACGGCTCCAGGTTGGTGGGACTCTAGGTCTGAATGGGGGTCCCCCGGGCAAGGCCACGCAGTGCACTGTGAGCAGGCGTAGGTGGTTCGAGCAGAGCAGAACTCTGCAGAACCTGCCCCACAGCGGCACCCGGATGTGCTCTAGCTTACTTGGGATGCCTGATGGGTACTTCCAGCACCAGCTCCGGGGGGATCTCAAAGAGCTCCGGATCATTGCCGTTGGCCTGGAGGAGGAGTGGCAGGACATCAAATCGCCCCTTGGGTGCCTTCCACCCTTGCTGGATGCAGATCTGCAGCCAAACAGAGTTCACGATAATATTCTCGCCAACCTGGCTGCCCAGCAATGTGACTGTCTCTCCGGCGCTGTGGGCAGGATGTGGGGGTTGCAAAGCGGTAGGCTGCTAAGTACAACCGTCGTCTCTTGTACTTTTTTTTTTTTTTAATAAGGGATGTCTCCACTCAGTCTGAGCCATGTGTGAGCTAAGAGTTCAGGCTGAGTCACTGGAGAGTGTTCTGCCATCAAGCAGTAGGTGATAAGCACATTCTCATTATGGTGCACAGAGACTGGCTATTGGAACAAATCCACGGCCACTTAGGACTTCACACTTGTCACTGTGCAGTGTGCCATGAGCCACCTGGGACCTGCAGGTGACAGCGAGTTTAGAACCTGGACCTCCTGCTCCAAACCACTGTCTGAGCTATAGTGTTGTTAGTCTGTAGCAGTACAGAGACTATGAAACACAAGTAAGAAGTTCTGAGTCCACTCTGAAGAGGGCAGTGGTGCATGAACACACAAGCACAAATACAAGTTCACATGGCAATACTAAGGGTCCCTCTAGTGGTACTACAGAGCATCTCATGACCTGTCTTGGGAAAAGCAAAGTAAATCAGAGTGGGTCTCCTAGATCAGGGGGTCTCAAACTGGGGGTCGGGACCCCTTAGGGGGTTTTGAGGCTATTACCTGGAGGGTCGCGAGCTGTCAGCCTCCACCCCAAACCCCACTTTGCCTCCAGCATTTATAATGGTGTTAAATACATTAAGAAGTGTTTTTAATTGATAAGGGGGGGGGTCGCCCTCAGAGGCTTGCTATGTGAAAGGGGTCACCAGTACAAAAGTTTGAGAACTACTGTCCTAGGTGGACTGAAACACTGTAGTATAATATGCATCTGTCCCCATCCTATCTGAGCATCTTAGGAGGCGCTCAGAGGTGCACTCCCCTATGGGCCACTGACCTACAATGACTGGGAAGAATGGATTTTTTTCATTGCTTACCTCTGTGAGCTCCAAGTTGGCTGGGTCCCCCAGAATGGTACCGTCTGGCTGCTTGTAGCCAGCATAGCGGATGAGCTGGGCATTCCAGACTCGGAAGTCATGCTTGCCATCTGTCCTCTGGGGGAAGATGGTGATAGCAGACCTGAAAGGAACGGACGGGATGGCGCTGGCGTTAGTGATGTGAAAGGTGGCAGCCGGGAGGGCATGTGCTTGTTCCTGAGACTGAGCGGGGTTGCCTGGGATGATGGACAGCCCTTGCCAGCATTCACAGCACCTCAGCCGCTACGCTTTCTGCCACATGGTTTGTGCTTGTGAACATGCCTGGGACCAGATTAACCTCCGTGCATGCCCGGAAAAGAGAAGAGCCCCCTTTCCAACTGATTTTCCAGCTACTACCATTGTGCCTTATGAATGTGGGTGTGCCCCCTGAGATGAATAGTCCAGTCTGCAGACCAGGTACCAAGGTGGGGCAAATAGGTAGCGGGGGCAGAGGGAGAGTTCTGTTTCCCTGGCAAATTCATCTCCCTCTCAGTGCTTTCCCTTCGCTCCAGTGACCTATGAGCCTATAGATCAAACAGGCCCCCAGTAAATAAGGCGGAGGGGGAGATCCATCCAGTGGGAAAGACAGAGGAGCAAGAGAAAGGAGGAGAAATACATTGTATGTTTCTGTACAGCCCAGCCATTAGAGACGGAGTGGCCCAGCAGGTAGAGCACAGGACCAGGAGACCTGGGTTCTGTTTCCTTCTCCACCACTGATTTAGTCCATAACCTTGGGCAGAGTTACTGAGTCTCTCTGTCCCTGGGTTCTCTCAGCTGGGAAGTGGGGCTACTGATACTTTCCCACCTTTAAAAAGCAACAGAGAGTCCTGTGGCACCTTTAAGACTAACATCTGTTAGTCTTAAAGGTGCCACAGGACTCTCTGTTGCTTTTTACAGACCCAGACTAACACGGCTACCCCTCTGATAATTTCCCACCTTTGTGAATCACAAGCACTAAGAATCATGATTGCTAAAGATACTGATCGCTTGGACACGGGGTCAATTCATTCTGAAACACACACAGGTTTGAGGCAGAATTCAGCATTTGTAGCCCAGGTGGGCCCGGGGGCTAAGTTTTACTTCCTGCCCTTAGGTGGAGCGGGTAGAGGGGCAACCGAGAGGTTTAATTTATTGCTTCTCTACAGCTGGAAGAGACACTGGCCCAAGGGCGAGCAAGCAAGGTGGACAGGAGGGACACTCCTTCCTTCCCTTCAGCAGCTCCTGCCCCCGGCAGCCGGACACTCCAGCTCAGAACCCGGGACTCTCCAGAGACTCGGCTGCAGGCACATGGTAGCATTCTGCCGGAGGGAGGTGAAGGACGGGCCTGCATGCTGCATTCGGAACCTGGGACAGCAGCTCACAACCGGCCAGGGCAGGGAGGCAGCCTGTCCTCACGCTTGGGCTGGTGGCTCAGCCCACGTCCACCCCCCCAGTTGAGTGGCGAGTCAGTGATCTCAGGGAGTACGCGGTTGTGCAGAAGCTACCCAAAAGGCGAGGCAGGGCACATGGAAGGTGCGATTAGAACTGCAGCAGACACCCGCAGCACAAAGGAGCCTGTAACCCCAAGTCTCCGTCTCATGGCAGGTCAGAGGCTCCCCGGGCACGTGGCTGAGGTCAGGGCCAGGTGACTGGAAGAGAGCACTACTCTCACTCCAAGCCATAAACACAAATCTAAACAATTAACAGCCCCCTCCAGCTGAGACCCAGGGCTCCCTCCTTTGGCCCAGGGGAGGGACGGGACGGACGACTCACCTGAGGTTCCCTTTGTTGGTGGCGTATTTGATGTGGTTGCAGATGTAATTGAACATCCCATGGGCTGTGGTGCAGTCTCGGGCATCAAACACCTGCAACAGTCGAGAAGGTTGGTCTGCAGAACTCTCTCATTCCTAAATGAGCCTGCGTCTCCTCCACAGCCGGCCCAGCCCACTGGAAAGCCCGAGGGGCTGACGCATTACAGGAGACGAGGATCTCGCTAGCTGTAAGTAGTGTCTAGCACATACATGCTCCCTGCCACTGTAGCATCTCGGCACCTCGTACCTCAGTCCTCTCCACTGCGGGGAGCCAAACTCAAATCCAGGATTGACATTTGTTCCGTGCTCCCAGCCTACTGCAGTCCCCAGGGTCGTGTCCAGCCAACCAAAGCCACCATCAGCTCTGGCTCCCGCAGTCTCTCCTTAAGTGAGCCCCAGGGCTGAGAGATCAGTGATTGAGGGGCAGTGGCATGGCAGAGGAAGGGGGCGAGTGCCAAGGTAAGCTAGGACTGACCTTCCTTTGCAGAGCCGTGCAGGGACGCTTGCAAGCATCTTCCTGCACTATGCCTGGCTGCAGCGAGTCCTTTCCTTTCCACAGCCAAGTGCTCCCCCGGATGTTAATTAAAACAAAAGAAGCAGGAAGCTTCACTGTGTGAGAGAGGGGCTTGGCCTCCCAGCTCCAAACCGTGCTGAGACCCTGTATGAAATTGCTCATCAGCTTTGGAGTGACGGCGTCACGTGTGTGTGTGCTGGAGTATGGCTTCAGACTGCCGCCCCAGCCCAATGTCACTGGAAACAATGCATTCAAACAACCCCTGCTCCAACCCTGAGCCAAAAGTGCACTGGGGCTGGGGCTCGATGCAACCCTGGAATAGCTTCTTTGACTTCACCAGAGTTTTCCTCCCGTGGCCTCCATCCACGGCAAGGCTACAGTTTTTAAAGTAGCATGTGACAAGTAGGAGCCCAGAACCCAGAACGTTTCGGAAGATGATAGTGTTACCTCCGAAGTCTGCTTTGCAGTTTCAAATGCAGACACCGCCACCATCATCTAGGCAACCCTCCCCCATGAGCACCTTTCCTTCCAAAGCCCTCTCCTCCCAGAGCCTCCAAACAAGCCCCTGCACCCACAGATGAAAGGGTGGCATGTTTCCTACATGTACTGCCCAGAGCCACAAGCATGAGTCACCGTATCCTTAGCATCCAGAGAAACAGCCGTGTCTCCCTTGATTTACCTTCCATGCCCATCGACCCCTCTAAGAGCAACCTGCCTGCTGTCGCCAGAGCAGTCTGCTGCTTACCTGTAGCTTGGACCATTGAATCCTGCCCACGCAGCGGGATGCATTACGCCAGGCGTGCTTTGCTCCGTAGATCAGCTCTGTGTCCCGCAGCTGGTAGGTGTCTGTGGTTTCAATCTCCTTGGTCACTTCTTCCAGCCTCTCCACGTGGGCCTTGGAGCCAAACCTGTGAGCATGGGGAAAGGAGAAGTGACCCACTCCAATTTGTAGGGCAGCGGATAGCGCCGGATGCTGTCTGTACACGAGTATGCAGTCTGGTCCTGGTACACGTACACACATGCCAGCTGGAGGTAACTCTGGACCAATCATGATAATTGTGGGGGCAAAAATTCCCCTCTGCCCCAGGGGGTCAAACTCTGAGATGACACATTGTAGGATGAAATTCTGTGGAAGGGAACCTCCCTGGCTGCACCTGCGCATTACAATCTCTCGACAGATCAGTATACCACATGCTCATGTGCATGTACACCTGCTTGTGTACCCAGCTAGACACACACACAGAGCACAGATGCAGACCACTGGAAGCACAAGGTTGTCCGACATAGAGCAGAACCGTTCTGGACCTATAAATGCATGTCTGCAGTCTTGTGTTCTTTGGAGGCCAGCACAGATTTCAAATGGCCTGGCCCTTGGGAGTGCGCACAGCTGAGGCACGCAGAGCTAGTGATCCGACTATTGGCTAACTCTGGGCACTGCAGTTTGATCACAACACCACGTCTGAGTTTGCATCCAGCTTTGCCGGTAACAAGTCAGAGGTATTTTACTGCACCGCGTAGCTCCCGCTAAAAACCCGCCAGCAGCACCACCTGCGAGTGCCAGAAGACTTGCCTCTTTATGGAGGAGTAGTACTGATCAATGAAGTCCTTAGCCAAGGAGAGCAGCTGCTCTTTTGTCCTGGTGTCTTCTGGCTTCCGGATATGCTGGGTGGGCGTCATTATTGAGCCCATGCAGATCTGCTCTGTACACGCACTGGCCTGCAAGGACAGAAGGGCCACGTATGAACCATAGATTACTGGAGGCACCACTGGTTACACTGACATGGCCAACAGGACGGGCTGCACTAATGCTGGTGAAATGCCAGCTCCGGATTTGGCACAAGTGGTGATATTTCCAGTGTGTTTGCTTTCACATGTGCACTTTTTTTGGCACTGATCTCAGGCATACGACTGAGGGATGCCTGACCTACAACTGTGGCTCAGACAAGTGGGATTCGTAAGTGTCCAACCTAAATCTTAGTTATAGCTCCCTGTTCGCCCTCTCTCCCCCAAGCCGGTCTCCATACCATCCTTGGAGGAAACAATCACGTATCATCAGCTTTGCGTCCTCCTTTCTGCCAGCAGCAGGCAAATGCTTTACATCCAGCCACCGTCAGCTGCTGGGAGGTAACAGATACCCACCTCCATACCTTACTTTCCCATCTCCACAATAGACCTTCCCTTACACCATACCTCCCCCACTCTAGGGGTAAACACCTCTGCAACATTTCCCTGCAGAATCTACAACCTATCAGCCTAGAAGTCTACCCCACAAGCTATTGCCAAGAAAAGAGGACACTGGGATTGAAAAAGGGATAATGCAGTTGGCGTGCATTCTAATCATCCCCATTCCCCACCCTCATGTTCCACCAGCATTTGAAGGTTCGAAAGAGCTTAGTTGCCTCTCTTTGATTCATTCTAGTCTAGCCCACGACAGAGCAGCTCATTGAAGACGCCACGGCAGCACACAAGATGGGCTCATTTATTCAAAGCAACTCTAATTCTTCCAGTTAAATCAGGTTTAGAGACATTGATTTGGTCAACTGCACTCAGAAAACATTGGCCAAAACACTCCGTCCCACTCACCATGGCTGTCTTGAGATGTAAGGTATCATGAAGCACCGAGCCAGTCTCCCAGTTCTTGACTTTGGCAAACCGTGGGCACTTAGACGGGCTTCCATTCACCAAGTTCTTAGTTGGGGACTGTCTGCCAGATGGCGGTGGCTGGAGGAGAGAAAAAATGATGATGTATCAGACTATGGCTCACTGATCAGTTACAGGAGAAGTGTAGGATGTAACAGCAGGTGGATCTTGGATTAATGGACTTCTTCACCTATGGAGGCCTGGTGAGAATTGTGTGGTCTTGACCTACATCCTAGTGAATATTTGCCCACACCAAAAAAAATTACTCTGGATAGCTGTAAAGTTAACTCTGTTCTTCAGAAGAAGCCTAACCTCGAAAGAGCAAAGAGCCATAGAAATTAGAGATGGAAATTAACTATTAGCTCATGTAGTCCAGGGGTCGGCAACCAGCGGCACATGAGCTGATTTTTAGTGGCACACTGCTGCCAGCCTGCTGCTGGCCTGGATGGACAGAACCCCGGGCCGGCAGCAGACTGAGCGGGGCCGGTGGCTGGGACCCCATCTGGCAGGAACCAGTGGATGGAACCCCAGACCGGCAGCGCGGGCAGCAGATGGAACCCCAGACGGGCAGCGGGCTGAGCTGTTCAGCCCACTGCCGGTCTGGGGATCCGTCCGCCGGCCCCCTCAGCCTGCTGCCGGTCTGGGGTTCCGTCCGCCGGCCCCTGTAAATATAAAATGTATTACTGGCACGCGAAACCTTAAATTAATGAAGACTTGGCACACCACTTCTCAAAGGTTGCCGACCCCTGATGTAGTCCATTCCCTGTCAATGTGGGATTTTCTCCCTACATTACCTTCACTAGTGTATTATCTGCCATGGTTTTAAATGCACCAAAGCCAGTGCCGGTCGTTTGACTACTCCAAGGAAGGTTGTCTTAATATCTGACAATTACTGTAAAGGAATGAACAGGAAGCAGGCCTCCCCAGTGCCTGTTTTTGCTAGAGAAATGTAGGGCTAAGGACAAGCATAGGGAGGAAGTGAAAGGACTTCTGAATTATGTACACTTGGACCACTCCCATCTCGCTCCTTGATATCCTATGTAGGTGTGTGCCAAGCCAGGATCTTGGAGTGAACCTCATTGTGCAAGTACTGACACAGCAATGAACATACTTGGCCTGCAGAGATCCTGAGTGACACCAGGGAAAAAATAGTTCTAGTGAACTTCAGAGGAAATCTGCTTTGGCAGACAAACTCCATGAAGATGCCAAAAGCTCCACACCAGATTGCTCTTGGAAGGGGGAGATAGCCCATTTTGGAATTAGATCTTTCAGCAGAGCGCAGTGTCATCACTCAGTATTACTAAGACCTGGTTGGATGTTCCATGGAGAAGAGATCTGGTCCCAAACTGGGGCATCCTATCCAAATCCACTCAAGTTTTGGGGAAGTTTGGAGCCAGAACAAAGCTTGGCGTCTCAAGCCCATTGCTGTAAAATAGATCCGAACTGCCTAAACTTTGGGGAAATTTGGATCTGGATCCAGACATTGGATCTGAACTTTGTGGTTCAGGTCCCTCTCTGAAGTTATGTCTATGCTACAAAATTATGTTGACTCAAGTTATGTCAATGTACAGCCGCCGCAGTAATTAAATTGCTTTTGCACGTCCACACTATGCTCCTTGTGTCACTGGTGCACGTCCTCATCGGGAGTGCTTGCATCGATTTAATTGTCAGGGTGGGGCATTGTGGGATGGCTTCTGAAAGCCAGCAGCAGACAATGTAAGCAACACAGTATCTGACACTGTCTCGACCTCACTACATCAACCAAAGTGCTACGCCTCTTGTGGAGGTGGAGTTATTAAGTTGGCATAGCGGGCAAGTTACATCGACGGGAATGATGTTTTAGTGTAGAGGCTTACAGAGTTAGGTCAACGTAAGCTGCCTCACGTCAACCTAATGCTGTAGTGTAGACCAGAGCTAATTTATACCAACATTTAAAAAAAAAACTGTTCTGCATTTTTCCATTTTCTTTTTACTATTGATGCAGATATTCATGCTCCTTCTCCGTGATCCTGTAGAGAAGCTGTAATCCTATGCTCATGACATCATCACACATCATGAAATGGTTGCGATGGCACAAATTTGGCATTGTGACCTCACTAAATGGGGGAAAGAGATGAGCTGTGATGAAGGAAGCCCGTGTTTCAACACGACTAGCTTTGCCGATGAGCACACACTGGAAGAAAAACGATGGAACCCATATGAAGAATTAAATTGTAGATACAGATTGTAGATTAACTATTTTAATCCAATGTTATTAGAAAGCCCTTTAAAGGATCTAGTCACTTAAGATTCATCTGCTTCTCCTCGATCTAACTTTTCCTCCCTTCCACATTGAAATACAGACAAAGAAACTGCCTTCGCTCTTTAGAGGCAATCACTCACTTGACACATTTGACAGGCCTGATAGCTGTGGAGATAACTGGTGAAGGACCCCCAGCCATCACTTGACCACCACAAGAAAAGGGCTTATGTTCTAAAACTCACCAGGGAAGGCAAGTAATGAGACATTCCAGCAGCATCCGCTCTTAAAGCTGTGGTAGGAATTAGAACGAGAGCTCCAATTTTCTACTCAGGCCTCAGCCTGCTCTGCATTTCGTTGCACTATACAGAATTCTGCTCTCGGTCACACTGATGAAAATCCAAAGCCAACCTCACTCTTCTCAGTGGAACGGCTCCAGCACCTGAGAGCAGCATTTGCCCCTGAATGTCCTGGTAGATCACTTTGCTCCAGGTGAAAATGTGTCTGCTTTACAGAAAGGCATAAGTGTTTCATAGAGAACCGCAAAGCCAAAGCTTCTTCTCACGCTTCTTTTTTAGGAGTGCTCTGAAACCACATTGCAGCATATGAAAGAGAAGCCGTGTCTGGGCTGGGTTCCTGAGGCAGGCTAGATAGCAGCAGCCATGTGACTATATTGTACTAGTTAGATGCTGGGCGGTGGCAATTTCACAAAAACCGTTGACAAGTTACGTTTTTAAAAGTGTCTTTGACCCTGGAAAATGGGGATTTTGCTACTCACTTCAATGACAACAGGATGGTGCATCATCTGGTAACTTCCTCCATGTGTACGTGTCGGGGGGAGAAAGGGAACTCCATCTGATACTACTGTACCATATTCTTTAGTTCTCACGGGCTCTGGAGTCTCTCGCTATCCCTGCTCGTGCTCTGTTGGGCTGCGTGTGGTCTCCCCAGCTCCTGGAGTCACGTGATTAAATGACGGTCTCTGCTTTCATTGTTTTAAAGCGTGTCTCTAGCCCTCATGGTTGTAGAATACAATTTGAAAATGTGAACCCTAAAGGCTCAAAATCTGGAGGCAAATCAGAAGAGCCCCAACATTTATTATTTTCAAAAACTTGGATTTGTAAGCCAATCTCACAGCTTCTGGGGGCCTGACTCATGATTTTGGAATGCTCGGGGATGGCCACACTGTAATCTTCTTTCCGACACACCTGCCTCCTTCAGCAAATCTCAACCGTTTGTGAGCCAGCAACACTATTGCATGCCAGCTGAATTCACCGGAGCTGCACCACTGAAATGCACTGAGATGTGAATTTGGCCCTTTATTTCTCTGGGGATGAAGTTCCCATGACAGCCACAGGATTCATAAAACTTTAATTAAAATTGACACTTGAAACCTCCCAAAATTAAGGTTTCTCTCCACCCCCACCAGACATAACACACTGCAGCGAATTAGCAAAACACCTTATGCATTACTGTGAAATTCATGTTTCCTGAATGTGGAAAGCAGATCTTTAACCAGAACCATGGAGCTGAAGTACCCGCATGTTCACAGAGCATTATAAAGGCAGTTATACAACTGGTCCTATCTTCAGCAGTGGCCCAACTAAAAACCAGCTGCAAAGCACTAGTGAACTTTGGGTTATTTGTAATTTGGATCCCGCTGTTCAAGCTTCAGCCCACCTCAGATACTCTGTTGTGCTTGATGTTTTTCCTTGGGGAATTCTGTGGGGTTAGTGAAGTACTTGAAGGAGTGTGTGAATGTGTTAGATGAGGTGGGGAAGCATATGTGAAAAGACAGAGACAGAGATACATTACGCCGTAGTGTAACACTACGTAGAGGACACAGGGCAGGATGTGCCCTCTAATGGCTTGGGAGAGAGCACCCAAGAGAGGCTCTCTCGCTTGGCTTGGCAACTGTGTGCAGTGCGACAGGAAAGAAACTGATGACCAGCAGAAAAATGCAAAGTGCTTTTTGCCTCTCCACTCAGCCTCATTGGCTTGCGTGCTTGAAACCAAACATTATCCGGGGTTCTGTCAGGGAGGTGATATTAGCGCCTTTTATGTTTTAATTAGGTAGCAGTGATATTAGCGACTCAGGCGTGGGACAAATGGAGAGATTAATGTCGCAGTCAGGGGCGCACATGCATTATGCAAAAGACTTTTTACAACAGAGCATGTTATCATAAGTACTAAGTGTGCAGATTAGTGATCCTTCTGCGGTTATTACATATGGATGTGAGAATGCAATCCAGCCCCCTGAGTGTTCGATTTGCTTGGGTGTGTGGAAAAAACAGGGGGGTTTATCCCTTAGTGATGGCACATAAGGGCCGTAGTGCAGGTATACGCACCCCACAGCCAGGGAATACCCCTGGCACAAGGGGGCCTCTACTGCAGCTGCTGCTTTTCCCCTCTCCACATGGCCTAGTGCAGAGGGCATTTCAGAGTGGCCCAAGGAGCAGTGGTTCTAGGGCAGAATAGACAATTGGAGCTCTCGTTCTACTTCCTGGGGCTGGGGTTGCTTCCCCCTCTAATTAGCCCTCCACTTGTTAATTGATCCTCTCGTAGGTCCCAATTAACCTATATTGATGGGGAGTTGAGTGGCAGGTGCTGTCACCGGCTGTAAGGTACACCTTCAGATGCAACCCCTCCCGGCCCCGAACCCACCCAGGCCAGCCTTGAATGGCACAGCAGAAGTTCTAAGTCTGGCTGTAGCGGGGAGAGGGGGCAGGGAAGGAGATGCGGAAGCGGTAAGCGTATGGAGAGACCAAAACTGCTAGTGGAGGAGGATGTATAACGATAGGGATAAGAAGGATAAAAGGGAAGCCTGCACATCTAGTGGAAAAAAATGAGTTTAATAGCAGCTTAAGACTGGGGATTGTAGCAGCACTAACATGGAGAGAAATTAAGCTCTGAACACAGAAGGTTATAAAGTGCTTATAGTCACAGACCCAGGCAAGGAGCTTAGCAAAGAAAACAGAAAGACTGTGCTTCCAGGCACAGGGGCAAGGACCAAATCAGTAACCTGAGCTTGGCTGGAAGAGGAGTCACTGCACCCACCGACAACTAAGCGGAAAGAGTCAGGTTGAAACAGGGAGGTCACTCTAGGAACCGAGTGAGGTGTGTCGTCGTTCTTGGACTCACCTCCTTGTGCCTAAATATTACAGCACATATGGCAAGATCAGCTACGCTGTTCTGAGAACCAGATCATCTGCAATATGGGGCTGCATTTGGGGGAGATAAGGACAGATTTTCAGACTTTACTCTGAACTGTCTGGCTTTCCTCGGTCTGAACCTCGGGTAAGAGCTGCGTTTCGTGTGTGCACGCCCCCCTAGATTGTGCACTGGGGTGTTTTTTGTATAAATAGACATTTAAAAGCCCTTACAGTCTATTTTTAAAAATATTTATTTAGGGACTCAACAGCGGATCTTGCCCTTAGAAAGATGATAGCAGATGTGACAGAGCAAAAAACCAACCCATTACCCTGCAATTTTGGCAGGTGTCCCCCATCCCGGAGAGGTTTAAACTCCAGGAACAGATTGAGATGTTTAGAAAGGTCTCCCGGGGCCCCTTATTTCCTGGAGGCACAAGGAGGTACCACACTTCTAAATCATTGTCCACCACGATGCCTGCTTGCACTGCGTCACTTCACAAAGTGCGCCGAGGTCTCAGTGGAGAGTTAAGCTCTCCACAAAGGTGCCAAGTACCCCGCATCTTAGTCACTTCTCAATGAGCAGGGAGTGCACCAAGCGATGGAGACCCTGGGTAGGACACAGCAGCACAGAACAAGGCTATGTTAGAAAGAATGATCTAGTAGGTAGGGTACAGGACTAGGAGTCCAGACCTCTGAGTTACGTTCCGAACTCTGCTGCAGAATCCCTATGTGACAACAAGTCGTGTCACCGCCCAGGGCCGGATCATGGCTCGGTGGAAGGACCGTGACGATTGCTGTTATTTGACATCTTCTCTTGTACTGTGAATGTTTTGGAGCAGGGACAATGTCACCCTACTTGTTAGTACAGCACCTAGCACAGCGAGGCGCTGATCCTGACCGGCACTACTGGAATATAAATAATGGATAGAAAAGATTAATAAGCCTTGGGCTGGCGAGAGTGGTCAAACACCAGCCCAGAGGGCAGGAGCCGATCAATATAGGTATGAAAGAAAAATAGCCTTACATGCACTCCATCAAAAAGTGCCTGCCCTGCCGATGGTTCCTGGCCGGGAAGGGGGTGGGAGGTCAGGCCCTTTGTTTCAGGAAGTGACTGAGCTGAGCAGAGGCAATACTGGTTTTCTGGACTTCTTCATTTGAATGTTCATCTGTTTTTCCCTTTGGAAAGTGTTCTTTGCCGCATGGCCTACCGAGAATTACAGCGGGGGGGAGCCATGGGAATGGGATGGTCTGAGCACAGGGCTGGGTGCCAGGAACTGCCAAGTTCTAGCCCTGCCTCTGACACTGGTCCCATCTGAGAATGCATTTGGCCCAATAAGTCCAGAAGAAATTCCACACACTACCTTATCCCTGGTGCGATCCCACTGAGGTGGGGAAAAATCACTTTCCCTCTCTGTCCATTCTGCAAACATGAGGTTAATACCATTCCGGCAAGGGGGTGTGAGAAGCAACGAATTACAAGCGGATTGCAGCCCATCTTATGCTTCTACACCGGCTCCCACCCCAACTAATCACCCCACAAGACACCGGCACCTACCTGCTCCTTTTCCGAGTAGGGGTTGTTCAGGACGACGGGCGTGTCGCTCTTCCCCCACAGGTCATTGAAAACTCGGTCATTTTCCATCCCGGCTGGCACAGGTTTCTGGGACTTGTCCACTTCCCTGAAACTGAGGGTGGGGAATATTAGTCATTTCATTCCCAGAGCCACACGCAGCTTGATCCCCGTCAGAGCTCTCAGACTGCTTAGCCTTAGAGCAAAACCTCCCTGCCTACCGCCTGGGGGGTGAACCAGAGCCACAGGCAACCACTGCTACCCTCTGCCAATTGCTTAGATACAGGACTGGCTCTGGGCAGCTTCCCGCAGGATTGAAAACTTGCAAGAGTTTGAAGGGGGGGGGGGGTTGAGGGGAGGAACTGGAAACTCCCCACACTGGCAAAGGATCACCCTGTGTTAGCGCGACAACAAGCAATGGGAGTTTTGCAACGTAAAAAAGCCCAATTCCTAAAACTGGCAGGAAGCTGAAGTCCTCACTAGGCCAAGGTAGGGAAGTGATAATCATCCAGCTTACACCTTTGCACTGCCGGGAAGACATATTCCTAACCCTATCATTCGCTACGCGGAGTGCTACCACTCCCAACACCAGCCACCGTAGGACCCAATAAAGAGTGGAGAACCTTTAGCCAGAGCGCATTTGAGTTATACACAATGCCCTCTGCCCCATGCTGTCCAATGGAATAAGATTAAAGGTCTTGAGAACATGACCTATGAAGGAAGGCTGAAAGAAT